TGAAGGGTTGGTGCTTTCGGGGAAAACTAGTATCAACCTGGTGAAGATATACTCAAAAGGGAGTTCAAATAGAGGTAGTAAAGCTGATCTTGAGGAAAAGCTTTCAGGCTTTTCTGGTGTGAAAAGCACAATAAGCCAGAGGTTTGTTGTTACAGGTGTTACACCCAGGGTTCCTTCCCCATTCCTTAAAAAGGTCTCCAAGCCATCAGGCTGGCATAGTCTGGCACCCTTTCAGCAGTACATTTGAGAGAGAAACCTGTTCAGACCAGGGAACTTCTTTTTCTCTTCTTAAACGCAGGTGAACTAAGTGATCATGAAATTCTTCACACTGACAAGCTAAGAAACTGAAATCCTCCATTCTGGATCTCTAATCCCCAGAGCACTTTTGTCTCCTGCAGTGTAGATTGTTGGTTCTTTTGAGCCAGAGAGCGCTGCTACAACTACAATTGCTTTTCAATACCTGCACACTTCTGCTCACCAGGTATCCACTGGGAAGGTCTGTGGCATTAAGATACGGGTCAAACAGCTGCTTATCCACTTATTTTGGCCTATAAATGTTCTCACTTCCACTGGAATCAGTATGTTTGCGACGACAGATGTGAAAACTGAGTTCAGAATATTATAACAACAAAGCCTTCCCAAGTCAGCCAGCCAGTAAAAGCTAGTGCCTCTCTTCATTCACACATGTATACCCCCAAATCTCTCCTACTTACAAAAGCCTGGAAAAAAAGATATGCTTCACAGCAAGCCTCAGAATAAACAAACTCACTCTGCATAAGGTCCAGGAGGAGAAAGAAGGTATGTTTTCCATTTATGTGACTGCTAGCTTACGTGCCACCTCTTATCTGAGGGGCAGGCTGCTGGTGCACAGTGAGATAGGGGAATCAAGACCCAACAGTGTTACCACATAAAAAGCTCACACACATGCCTGCTAAATTGCTCCTACCAGAATATAAAAGCAAGCTGCTTGGCTGCTAACACAGAACATGTTTTATTTAATGGGTTGTGAACTGTGCGAAGACCATGAGGCCTCTCATGAGAAGATGAGAGTGGTTTCTCACAGCCCAGCCATTTTATGGGTGGCTCAGCATGAGACGGGTTGGGCTGGGTGACATCTTCATTTCCTACTTCCCCCTCACCTCCCTGTACAGATCACAAGACGACAGGATAAATGTGTTTCCTCCATGCTAAATCTTTCTTCATTTTCTCAAGACAAACAACAGAGAATTACTATAATCAGACTAATGTGGTGCTTTTCAAACTGTGGTCCCCCTAACAGTTTAAAACTGTATATAAATGAGTGGAAGGGACAATTACACTGAACTACACAAACAAGAGTAAGCTGATCTCCACGTGCAGTAAAACAGGCTTCTGTATTTTTATGATTGACTATAAAGGTTATGGCCAGTATTAAAGCTGTCTGGTATTTATTATAAGAGCTGGATTTTTTTTTTTCCAGCTGCTTATTACTTTACCATATTCTTCATTTTTGTGCCAAAACTTTCTGCATAAGATACAAGACCTCAAAATTGTCAGAAAACTCTGGTATAAAGCTGCTCTGTCATTTCCAACAGCAACAGTAAGAAAAACCTTTTGTGAATGTTAATTTCTGGCAAAAGTTTCTTAGGGAAACTTTAATATTTCTAGGTTTTAACAAGTATTTCCTGGATTTTAAGTCGAAGCAATAACTAGTCTGTGCTGCCCTCCACGCTGCTATGCACAGCCCAGCTGGCCCAAGTACCTCTACACTGCAGTTCCTTCAGAGAGCGTAGAAATATTTTATACCTGTAATAGCTGCTCTGGACCAGCATCAAAAGAAAGAACAGGAGCACATCCTCCCTGTACTCTTGCTGACCTCTCCTCTTAGTCCTAACGAAGCGTGGGGAACTACGCTGCCTGAATCAAGTGCAAAGATGGACCTAGAGGGCAGGGAGACCTTAATTTAACCTGGTCGGAAGAGAGGGGTGCTTACAGCTGGCAGAGGGGACAGGCAGGAATTTGAATGATGGAGAGAGTGGGAGAGAGGCAAAGGGGAATGGCAGTAGATGAAGACTTAGGATATTGGACACAGAGCAAAAGGGTAGCAAGAATCAGAAAAAAGAGAAGGGGGAGGGACAGAAGAGTAAGGGGTGAGAGGCAAAGCGAACCCAGCCGATGGGTGGAGGAGGGAAATTGGGTCTGCCTGGGTGAGCAGGGGTGGCCACTTGGAACAACACATTTATGCTTGCTCAGCAAGAATATTTGTACTAAGATGAGAACATGAAGCATGGATGTTGCAACGAGCTAAACGAAGAGTACAGAAATAGAACAAGGAAAAACAATGGAGAGCTGGGTTGGCACCTCTAACACCACCCCCTGTGTCCGCTGAATCTCAGACTTGGCTATCAACGCTCGTCGTAGGCACGGCTCGCTCTGCCCCTGCTGTCAGCAGCACCCAGGAAACCCACCAGCAGATTCTTCCATCCCTGACGGTAGATGATGCAACAGAGGACTGAGATGAACTGGTGCCTATTGCAATTAATCGTGGTACTAATACACGTGGAAGAATTTGCTTCAGTGGATTTAGATGTTCCCACTGCCCTCAGCGCTCACAATACAGCACTAGATGACTGAACCGCTCTCTTTATTTTTTGCTTTGTATTTTTCAAAGCGATGCAAACAATCACATACAAGAGAGGAGAGGGCTGTTTAAATCCATTCCCTACTTGGGGAACAGAGATTTGAAGGCAGCTCTCCCACTTCCCTGGAAAGCCTAAGAGGTAGAGGGGTACTCTACAAACCTTTACCCTCCAGAGAACCGTCACTGATGGCAGGAGATTGCTCGGGTGTCATCGAGGGTATTGCCTGTGGACGGCTGGATTGCACCAGCAGGACTCAGAGACCATGTCCATCCACTTGAATTTCTGCTAGTGGCGCTGATGTGCCAGAAAATTTGCCTTAACTTCCATCTCCAGGAAAGAGTATCTTTTCCTCATACACAGGATGACAAGAGAGAGATGGAATCCCTCTTTTTTCATGTGTTTTAATATATACATAAAACATATATAAAGCATATAAGTATACTTTTCAGAGTACAGCTATTTCAGGAATAACATTTCTTTTAAAAGAAATGTAATAAAAATCCCACTCAGGTTGAATATAGAGAGAATTAGAGGAAATAAATGTGGAAATTTTACTTAAAATTTATAAATAAATTGATCTTATAAAATCAAGTCCAGAAGAAACGAGCATTCCCTCTACAGTATAAAATAGCACTGTCTTGCCTGTAGGCATTACCACAAGCAGAGAAGGTTCACTGTCCCAGAAATAGAGAGGCAAAACCACTGACAAATCCACACACTGTGTTTATGGGATGGTACAAAACTCATCCCTGGCTTATGCAACTGAAATTCAGTTGAAAGCAAAGTGGGGTTGCCAGGTATTTGGACAGGAGTCTGTAGGAGAGGGAGGGATGGTTGTGTTGTCCCAGAGAGTTGTTAGGAACAGGATCCTGGAAATCCAGCAAGAATGGCATTTACCTACGCAGTTGCCATTAATTTCAGTTAATTCCCAAACTGCCTGACACTCTCTGCCTTTGGTTTTAAGGGCTGATATATGTGTTCCTCCTCCCTGACTTCACCTAGAGGCACAACTTTGGAAGCTGTTTTCCAAGAAGCCATCATAAACAGAGACTTTGTCAGGAATCGCTAACAGTTCCTAACATAAAAGCCCATTAACTTCCCATGTTAATTATGTACCACCACAACTTTAGTCTAAGAGCAGCTCAAATTTTAAACAGTTCGGCATCTAATCAAACAGGCAGCAAAATAAGTTGTGGATCTGGTTTTAGTATCACACACCAGTAAAGTTAAAGCTTCAGTATTGTCTGGAGGTACCTTTAATAATGAACAGAAATCTTTTCCACTTTAAGTCCTACAGAAAGCACACTGAACACTGAAATGTAAACTAACAAACTTTAAGTATCTAGCTCCAAAGCCCTGTCCAGCCTGAAAGTCAAATATAAGACTTACCTTACGTCACCTAGGGCAGTACATAACAGCAGCTGCTTTATTAGACAGGTTCTCTGAGCTTTCCCCCCAGGATGTCCAGTTAGCACTTCACAAATGTCTGGTTCCTATCTCAACTGAAATATTTCTGTTTTTAAGAAATATGCTTGCATGTGTATATATATACATACAGAGAGAGAGAGAGAACTTGCGTGTATTTTATGTCAAATAAAGTAAGATAGTTTCTGCAGGAATATAAAACCAGTCCCCATTCCTCCTCCCAAATGTAGAAATTTAAAAACCCTATGCTAAGAAAAATAAACTGAAAGGCTAAACCTCTGCGCACTCAACAGAACCTCCTGCAAAAGATTTATGTAGCAGAGTATCCCTGTTTCTCCCCTGCACAGTGTCCCAAGCACAGGTTAACAAACATCCGCAAAGAATACTTCAGGTCCGTATTCACAAGTTTTTCAGTCAGCATCTAAATATTCTCAAAACAGTTTTTACCCCCAAATCAAGGAAGGCCGAGACTCTCCTTTTGCCCTTACCTATTCTTTTGTCTCATACAAACTGTGAGCACTTCTCAAAAGATAACCACGTCCTAGACAAAAATTAAGCAGAATTACTAAAACATGGAGAGTGGAGATTGTGGATGACTGGTATTTCAGTATTAGGTATTTCCTAATAAGTATGTCCTTAGGGTGGTAGAACACTTTGTCCTGTGTTTGCCAGCCAGTAGATTAGGGAGAAAATTTCTTTTGTAGATCACTGTACGCTTTAGAAAGTCAATGCATACACTGCTTATTACAGGTTACCTGCTGAGAAACACATGTGGTGATAGCTGGAAACATGTATGGGTTAAGGCTTAAAATCCATTACCCTTGCTAACAACAGAATGAAGAAAACAACGTTTTACTCGCCCATCTCAGGGAAGCAGTAAATAGTCTCTAGAAAAGTCATTAAGCAGAAGCATAGAGGGCTGGGAACGATGAGCAACCGCATCAGGTTATTTACCTGTTTCCGTGTCTTCTTGGGGTGCACGACAATAACAGCAGTCCATGAAGATAACGTAGCTGAACACATTGAAGAGCAGACCTGCGATCCCGACAGCGAGGACGAGCAGTGCTTTCTCAGTCTTCTGAGGATTGATAAACCTCTTGATTGCCTCAACAAAGATGCTAAACATCAGAGCGGTGGCAAAAACAGAGTTGCCAAAAGCTCCCAGCACATCTGCCCGGCTGAAGCCGTAAGTGTTAGCCTTGTGCCATCTGATACCACTGAACCTAACACTGAACAAACCTATGATCATGGAGATCAAGTGAGAGAAAACAGCAAAGGCATCTGAAGCTAAGGAAAGAGAATTGCCAACGTAGGCTATTGAGATCTCGACAGCAAAAAGCACAAGGCTCACCATGCACATGAGGATGAGCCTGCTGCTCCTGCCCGAGTAGCGGCCCATTTCTGCTGCTGTCTTCCCCTTACTCTGAGGTTCTGCAGGACAAGAGCTGTGTGAGGAGCAGCTCGCTGCCTGCGATTCTGCCCTTCACCTGTCAGTGCTGCTCACACGCGGCGTGGGAGCCACTTTTATAGGAAGCAGTAAAGCAATAAATCAGTTTAAAGGGCAGTTTAGCAAGATTTGTCATGTGAATGCAGCCTGAAGGCTCTAGTCCTGCAGGGGTTCCACCCTCAGGAGGCTTTTTTTTTTTACCTACAAAACCAAAAATAAACCAAGGGAGACTACTAGGAGCACCAGCACTTGCTACTCTGCCCAATGGCACTGTCCTAAAAAAACCTGAGTAAGGCCCAGACAGGAGAGCATAAGAAGGTGGCTCGGAATTTTAAGCAGCTAGAGAAGACATTTCTTTTGCATAAATCTCTCCTCTGATGTATGTTTCAGCCATTTCTGTTGCCAGTAACTTTAATAGTGAGAAAATACTACTACATGCCTGTAGAAGACGACATTTGAAATCCATGTTGGCTGGACATTATTTTTAAGAGCACGGTAAACGTGAACTGCCTGTGAGGATTGTTGAACATGTTGTCCATAAAGCAAGTTTCAAAGACAACTGAATTAATCTTCCATTTTAGCAACCTAGAGTTCTCAACGGCTTGTACTTTTAGCACATTTTAACATTGCCCATGGAAATGGAGCAAAGTTGGAGGCCATTTTCTAAATATGCAGCCAGTAGACACGGAAGCTGAGCCTTAACAATAAACCCAAAGCACATGGTTTATTTCCCATTTAGAAAACCCTGCCTATCTCAAAATCCCAAAGTAATCCTCATATGCTTGCAAGGAAGAGATCTGGGGAAAGCACAACCAGAAGTTAAGGGGGAAATAAGAGCTGCAGAAGTCCTAGCTTGTACTTGGTGCCATTTCTGGAGCACAGTAAGAACCTGACGCAGTAACATTTTTTGTCACTCACTGTAGTACCTGTTGAGCTCTTAAGCGTACACATAGTTTATGCACACTCACAAACCACAGTGAAGGAAACCTAGCTGCTAATAGCACACTAGGAAATATGGATGACAAGACCAGGTGCCTTCCTTGAAAAGTTTACGATCCAGTTTTTGTTTGAAATGCCCATCTGTATACATATACATACACAGTTAGTTACAAGATAAAACGGAAGGAAATTACATGTGGTACAGCCATAGAGAGATAAGATAAAAATACTGATAACCTGAACTGACCAACTGTCCCTGCTGGCCTTAGACTTCCCAAGGTGAATTAACTTTAGGTTAAAAACTCAAATACCCACCCCGAATTTTCATTTATTTTTTTGCTCACAGGGTTTCAACAGCCAAAATATTTATGTTTAAAGTCCAGTTTGTTAGAAGCCTTGCCTGCCAACAGAATTAATTTTTAACATTTGGTCATTTTTCTATCTACACACTGCAGCTGCAACTTCTGAGGGTTTCTGCCCCCGTGACCTCCCCCTGCCATTTTAAGAAGACCACTAGCCCTAGTAGGATAAATTAGTAGAACTAATTACAACATTGAAACTGGTACTTGCTCTTCTTCCTCTTCATCATCTCCCACCTGTGTTACTACTGCTATTCCAGCTATTTCTATGGTGTTTTCTTCCTTCTTGTATTAAAATAATTTTCAACTACTTAATTATTTTATTATCTGAACTACAGAGCATGAAAAGTGAGAATTTTTTTTCAAGAGTTATTCTCCTTTCAGTGGGAACAGACCAAGGTCAAACTTCAGAGCTCTCAAAAGTCCTGCCTTACACAAGGTTTCCATTACCAAAACAAGAGCTAAATGCAGCACTCCCTATGCAGCAGAGCTAAAATGCTCAAGTATGCTCTATTTTGTCAATAAGGAGCAGCACCATTTTAAGGCAGTTCCCCTACATCCCACCTTACTATGCTATTTAACCCAAATTTATCGGTATACAACTGTAAGAACTAAGGAACACCAAGAGATTTGCAGTTCTATTATAAACACAAAGTAGTATCATTTAATCAACTGTAGTGGGTTACTTTGATTCATATACTTATTTTCTAGCACACACAATCTACTAAGAGTCTGAAAGTTTTCATACTAGTATAATTAAGAGTATGGATGTTTCTTTAACGCTCTACAGATGGCTCAGATTGTGCTTCTGGTGAAAGGATACTTGACATGGACTTGTCTCTCCCAGGCAGGCATTAGCCTCTCTGTGGAAGATCACCACAGAGATCTGCAGGTGAGTCATCCACATTCCAGACACTTCCAAGACCTACAGTCATCAGGAATAAACATGCTGGGAAAAGAAGGGGGGGGGGGGGGGGGGGGGGGGGGGCATGAGAAAAAAAGTACTGGCCTTCTGTGAAATCTCTGGCTTCAAACAAACCCATTTGTAAGTTAAGTTGAGAGCAACTCATTTCTAAGAACAATGTTGTCAACATGTTTACTCATTTGATCCAGTCAAGTGGCTGAAGGTTGGCTGTTTGTTCAAACTGATAAGGTTGCAGTACCTCTGAGGACCAGTCTTAGTTACCCATCACTTGAGGCTTGGAAAACATCACTCTGGTATTAGTACTTATGCTCTTTCTCAAAGTATAATTCCAGTCAGTGTTACAAACAGCATACCAGGATAGAAAGACCTTAGGGCCACTCTTCTGGCATGTCAACTGAAAATGAAAGATGAATGTGTGCACTGACATATCGTTCCCCAAATCCTTTGCTCATGACTACCGCTGACATGTTATCTATATAGTGGGAAAACATCTAGACAGATGAACGCAAAACAGATGATTTTAAGATGCAACTGAAGCAAACCCTTCGGGACTAACCATCATCCAAGGAATATTTCAGAGAATTTCCAAGTGCCCAAGCACTCTGAGCAAGCTGTTCTGAAATACTTAAATCGTTTTTGCATTTTTCTGTGAAAAACTGGGGTATTATCACAAGGTGCATGATCCAAAGCTGGACAGGCCACTGGTTCAAATTTAATATTCAAAATTTTGACTAGGAAGGCTGACCACAGGAATCTGGGCAAAAGCAAACATTTTGCATGCTTTTGAAAAGCAAAGAAGTGTGAAGATCTGGGAATAGCACTGTAAGTCTCCTGTATACTTAAAAGACTATTGATGCTACATAAAAATAGGGTTTTAGAAACAGGCAGCTATGTAGTATTGTCCCAGGAAGAGTTTGGGGAGGATCTCACTGGTCCAACTTTTTAATTGCTAAGTTTTGACTCAACTCTTTTCAGGGACAGAAAAGACAGCCTTCAAACATACGAAAGAAAAAAGTAACAAATTAAGCATATGTCATCCAAAAGTTATGTTGTGCCAGGGCTATTTTTTTTTTTGAAAGTCAATCCTATGCTCAGAGTGGAAGTAATTTTATTTTTAAAATAATTCTGCAAATCTGCAATATCCAGCTTTCTCTGCTAAAGCAACACATAGTAAGTGCAGGAAAAGCAAGTTTTATGAAACATGTTATAGATATAACCACAGCCTAAAATCTTTAGTGTTGAAAACACCTCTCTTCAGATTGCTTTTGCATTACTCATTGCAGTATCACTGAGAAAGCTATAAATGCCAGTTTAAAAGATAAGAGAAACAGGGCTTTGCAAAATATCTGCAAGAAATGGCATTCACCTGCATCTTGCTAACAACGTGGCATTTAATCTAAGATAGCCTTTCAAACTTGTTTTACAATGGGGTGAAAGTATCTCCTGAAAACCTGGCTCCAGAAGGATTTTTCGAAAAGGATAGCATTCACCACACCTACAAGTTAGCAGCAAGTCTGTACTGAAAATTGAAAAATTTGAAGGCAAAATTAAAAGCAGATGTTTTACCTATAAAGTTTATGTCGGCACACTAAACTATACTGTAGAGTGTTTATGACATTCTCTCCAATCTTTCAGGCATTTTCTCAATGTACAAAAAAAAATATGCACCAAAACAGAAAAAAGGCATGAGCAAAGGATACCTATCCTTCCCATTGAGCAACACAGAAAAAAAACCCAAAGCATATTAGAGCTCACGATACATGTTTATTATTAGAGATGTTTACAGAAAAGTCTGTGAATTACTGCTAGCCTAAGACTGACAACTGGGGGGGTTCTATGGTTTATGGCTTTGTTTTTTGAATCATTTAAAAAGTCGCAAAACTGATTAAGTTTGGGGGCTATTTCAGTCTTATTAAAAAAAGTTCATCCACAGATAAAGGAGAAGGTGCTTTCACTAGTAATTTAGTAACTACGACCAAATAGGGTGTAAAACTTGGCAGGGTTCTTGCCGCAGACACATCTTGCCCCACACTGTAGTTCACGGAGAGGCTGAAAAGGTATGCAGAGGCTTTTTGCTCCCATGGAGGGGGCGCCAGGCTCAAGATCTTGATCCCTGAAATAAAAGCATACTCATAAATAAATACTCTTATTTAAAAGTAAAGGTGCAATAAAGTGTATTATACATAAAGTCTCAAAAGCACACAAATTAGTCTGAAAGTTTCAGAACTAAGGGAGTAAACATATTGAACTATGCAGAACAGCAACAGTCAAGGGTGAGGACTGTACATCGGTGTTATACCCAGAGGCATCTTACATTCCTGTTTTATATTCAAAACGTTTTGATTTTGATCTCGGTAGACACTCTCCAGTTCAGTTATATTTTACCTGGCAGTGGTCTTCTTGATCCAATCCTCGCACTCAATTTCCCCACAAAAAGGGATTTGTACAATCTGAAGGGGACAAGAGCGGGGGAGACAAGAAAAAAACAAAACAAAACAAAAACCAGTTATACATCTAAAAAAACCCATCCTTGTCTCTGGAGGATTCATAAATCTTAAGATCTCATATACACTCAAAGTAGGAAAAGTTCCAATTGCTACAATTAAATTTTAATAGCTCTTTCTCATCAGAGAAATAGATAAGCACAGTCATCCCTCCATAGCGCAGCATGGAAAAACCTACACAAACTCAAAGCAGCATTTAAATCAAGTCAGGGTGGTGATTTTATT